CTAATCTTGTCCTTTTTAAACTGCATTCTCATGTTTATTTCTGTTTGTAGCACGCAAAAGCAGCAGAAAGTGCAGTTTGAAGATAGCAAATGTCACCCTGCACAGAAGCCAGAGGCTCCTCTTTGGCCGGTACTGTACTGTTATCTTTCTGAAAGTACAGGTGTAACTACACCTTCATTTGGTCCTAATGCTTCATGGTTCCCTCAAATATGTTTTTTCTACAGATAAATTCTGATAAATCTGAGGGTGTGACACATGAGAGGGAAAATGCCAAGAACAACAGTGCACAAGGTACTCCTACAAATCTAGAACGCCAGAACAGCTGAAGTTCATTAGACTAAAAACTTTTTTTGTTACTTATCTGCTAATATGTTGCTACTACTTCTATCAGAAATTGCACCTCTGGTTCAGACTCCATTGCCTTGTACCCCAGCTGGGTACTTAATAAAGTAAGTTTCTGTTTAAACTAGTTACATATTTTCTTTTCCTATGAAGACATTATTAGTTGGGTTTTTAAGAAGATGATAAATGTATGACTGTTCCCAGGCCCTCTTCAAGCAAACTGGCAGCTCGCGCCAATACAATTTCTGAATCCACAAACTTCACCGCACCTGGAAATCAGAACAAGGCAGGTGCTATCTACTTCATTCTTTGCCTACGTTCTTAACTTGCTTATTCAGCAAATGCAACAGAAATATCATCTGGTTGATCGCTAAAATTCATCTAATCCAAAACAGTTTTGGCCAAGCTCCTGAGAAAACTGAATATTTTTTTATCTAGCTGACGGATGCAACGCTGTTGTCTGCAGCACCCTCTGGTGAAAAACGTGGGTGCGCCAAAGGCATGGAAGAGAAGCATCACCCATGTGTACGTGAGCCATGTGATCCAGATGCACGTGAACAAGGAGAAGGCCACCGCTTCTTCGTCACAAATCCAAGCGAAGCCTGAGGAGAGACCCCTCGCCCGCTGCTCGAGGCCTCCGAACGGTGGCTTCACCACCTCGCACAAGGCCATCGCCGCCATGCGGGACGAGAAGTTCTACACGGTGCCCTTCGACGTGCGCGTCCCGGCTCACCAGCAGTCGTCCACTGGCATCTGCGACGTGGGCGCCAGCCGACAGAAGATTGTGAGCGCAACAGACACTAGAGTTTGGCTACCGTTGATCATGTTTGTGAAAGCTGCTACCAGTAACTGAGCTGCTCTGAACTCTTGTCTAACCGAAGCCGTTGCTGTGCCGCTGCATGTTTCAGGTCAGTGGTGGTTCCTGGCAGAACCTGCCCGCCACGGCATCGTCGGCGCTACCGGCGACGGCACAGCATGTCCAGTACCTGCACCATCAGATGGCGCCGCGGCCGCCGCCGCCGCCGCGGGACGCGACGCCGTACCCGTTCCCGCACCTCCCTTACAGCAGGGGGAGTCTGGGACACGCCGCGGCGCTTCAGCAGGTAGTTCTTTTTTTTCCCCTGTCATCACTCATCACTGCACCATTGCTTCTGGTTTCTTGGTTTCTGCATTGCGTTGCGGTTCAATTCAAATGGCGTCTGACCGATGGCATCTTGTCTCGTCTCTGGGGTGTGACTCGCAGATGCCACAACAGTACGTGTGCAGCCCTGGGTACGGCCCGCGCGCCAGCCTCCCCGCCGCGACCTCGTCGGCGATGATGATGAAGCAGCTGCAGCAACTCATGCCGACGCAGCAGCAGCAGCAGCAGCAGATGTGGCAGTACCATGTGTCGCAGTACCAGGCGAGGCCGGACGCTACGGCTTCCCCGGCGTCCGTGTCGGCGGCGGCAGCGGCTTGGCACGGCATTTCGTCATCGCTGCGGCCGATGGGCATGCTTGCTCCCCCGGCGTTGCCGTCGCCACCACGGCCGCCGCAGATGGAGGTCTTCTGCGCGCCGTATCAAGGTGGCAGGCAGCCGCAGCAACTGAGGTTGATGTAGCTGGCCTCACTTCAGCTGCTGCTGATCAGCTGATTGATATTATTCAGACGCACTTATTTATAGAGAGTATATATACTACTTATATAGCAGTTAAAAAAATGGGATGTTGCAAAAAAAAAAAAAGAGATCCATAATGTTGCGTTTTTATATACTCGAGAAACAGGGTTTATGCATGGTAGCAGAGGGGACTGAAGAGGGAGGGCTCAACTGTAATTAACAGGTTTAATCTCTGCTGCAGTTGCATAATTAATGGAGTAGTAGTACTGCTATACTACAACTACAAGGCTCTCTATATCTGAAAAAAGTAATCATTTCGCCGCCGCTGGCGCGGGTCACGTGACATGCATGCGCATGTTGGAGGAGGCTCTGCCTCCCTGACATGTGGGGCCCTGCATGCACGCATGACGTGTACAAACCGTGCTCCATGCCACGTCTTATGTACCAAGGTAAATTGGATGCATACAAAATGCACCGGCCTCTTCTGTATACATGTTGTAGACCTCGTCTCGTGATCCAACGGCACACATCAGACTCGTGGTTATATATGGGGCGAGTCAAGTCAATCACGGATCCATACAAGTAGATAGAGAAAGATCATAGACGTTTGGTTATTTTATTTGTATACACGTGACAGCACATCATGGATGGTCGCACTGAAGCTCTATGCATATTATATCCACCTAATTTTTTCGGGTCCATGCAGTGCCATCTATGCTTTGCTGTGTGGGGCTCATGCGCTCAAATTTCTCGAGATGAAGGTGAGAAGTATACGGATGGTCGACATATTTACAGCCATTCTCTCAGCATAAGAGCATCTCTAATGCTTTCTAAAACAGACTCCTACTTGCATGTTTGGATAGCCATCCATTTTGATACTATCTTTTTTTTTTCTTCCAACTCTAGCAATACTATCTAAACCATAGCCCTCAAGTTCATTCTAAAGTCAATGACATGTGGACCCACATGTCTTCTTCCTTCCCTCATCACCATCTCGAGCACTCGGGGGAGAGGGCCGCCATTGCAGCGTCCACACCACCGGGGAAGCGCCGGATCTGCCCTCATCGGAATTGGTTTGTTGAGTGCTCCCTGTGGCTGGGGAGTAGGAGACGGGCTCCGGTCGGGGAAGACGAGGAGCGGCCAGGGAAGATGCGGCGAGGAGCCGTGCGGCGGTCGTGGAGGCAGGGAACGGCTAGGGATGGCTGGATCCATCCGCCATTAGCTTTGAGACGTCACCGTCGAGGTCTAGGAAGGACACGACAGCGGGCTTCCTTGGGGTAACAGTAGGGGCGAAGCCGCGCGCGAGCCACAACGGACGAGCACGGGTTGCAAACGGCGGAAAAGAATTTTAGGTGCTCATGTGTTGGGCGAACAGAAGTAGGTAGTTGGAGAGGAGAAGTAGGGGCTAACAAATTTAGGTGGCCAAATAGGTAGCCTGCTAGAGTGGATTTTTTAGCCTTCACTACCAAAAATTCTAGGACTCAAGTAAAGCAAGAAAATCAATGTAAAAACCAAAGTATTGTGACGTGTATAAGTGGCATGCTACGCGTGCCTTCACTTGTTCATTGCTTATGGGTATAATTGGTTGGGGTAGTATGCAAGCAGTCCGTTGTAATTGGATGCCTTACCTAAGCCCGTGATGCAAAACCGTATTCCTAGCCAGGCTCTCGTGGTGCACGACATGAACATAGGGGACCCAATTGACGTGTGATGAACACAGCTCGGCAACCAAACAACATCGTCCACGCGATGTAACACCATCGCCATATGCTAGTTCGCATGTTGCGGAAAATTTTCTCGTTTTCAGTGAAGCCTGGCTCGCCTGGTTCGCGGTGTGCTGGCTCGTCTCATGAGCCCGTACTTTTTCATCAAACGAGCAGTGTTTTTGTCTCATAACAAATTAGTCGTACTTTTCAGCCTGGCTTATCAGCCAAACGAACAGAGCCATAGGCCAGAGCTTAGTTAGACAGTTAGACTAGGATGCAATCAAGGAACCAAACACGCGTTGCACGGACTTAGCCAGGCTAGCGAGGGTTTGGTTCTTATATGCTAGCCAGACTAGGCTCAACTGGAAACCGAACACACCCTGTGGGCGTGATTCGCTATTTGAATGCTCCTAAACACAGCTTGGTGATGAGAACCATGATGAGGAGATCTTCCTAGTAGAATTGGAAGTGCTACTGACAATATGCCTCCTCCTCCCTCCCCCTCCCCCTCCCCCTCCCCCTCCCCAGCCCTGCCGGCGACCGCTCAGGCGCCGCCAGCCACCTTCACCTCGCTGGCCTCAGGTAAGGACGCCGCCTCCTCCCCCTCCCCCCTCTCCCCAGACGCCGAGCCCTTCTTCCTAGGGGCATGGTCGGCGGGAAGGGGCAAGTCGCAGCGGTGGGAGATGGACTCCTACGACTCCGACACCGACTTCGACTGCAGCTCACCGGAGGCTGCCTCATACCTCGACGTGGCACGCCGCGGGTGCGAGGCCGCCTCGACGGGTCGCGCGAGTGCGCAGCCTGACAGCCAAGGCCCGGGAGAGACAGTGGCCGAGGCGAGTCACTGCGCACCCACCAAGACGCAGAGCCGCCGCCGCCGTCGTGCCAGGGCAGCGGCTTGGCGGGGGACGGGCAGAGCCACGGCGACGCAGCGGGTCCCGGCGATGCAGAGGATCGGCCCTCAGGCAGCGGAGAGGGTCCCCGCCCATCGGCGGCTGGGGCCCCAGAGACGAGCCACCCCGCCGGACGCCAATGGCTGGCAGAAGGTGCTCCTGCGCGACGAGGGCCGTCCTCCGCCAAGAGCGTCGCAAAGACAGTCCCAGTCCCAGCCCGGCCGCCGCATCCCACCGGAATTCGATGGTCGCTGCCTCAACTGCCTCTCCTACAGTCACAGGGTGGCCACGTGCCGTCTGCCGCACCGGTGCGTCTGCTGTCACAGTCTGCACCACCTGGCAAAGGACTGCAAGCGGCCAAGAGACCACGCCGGCGGCGGGGACAGGCCGGCGGGGCGAAGATTCGTCAGGGCGCGCCGCGACGGCTCCACCACGCCACGGGGGTCAGCTACGAGGGGCCCGATGCCACCTCTCGAGCCGCTGCCACTCCCCGACCGATCCTCCGAGGAGCCTGCATCCGAGTTCGTCGACGGGGCACCACTTGGCCACCCGGCCACTAGGCCGCAGGAGGCCGAGTGCTTCATCCAGCGCGACCTGGCCACGGACTCCGCGGAGACGGCGCTGCACCTAGCCCTCATCGCGCAGCCGAGCGGGTTCACCGTTGGATGCTCCACATCGGAGGTTCTGCTAGCAGTCATGGCTGCATCAGGGGTGGCGGCGGACGATGTCCGGGTCAAGAAGTTCTACCCGGAGCAATTCATCATCTTGTGCAGTTCACCGACGATCAAGAACCGGGTGCGGGCGGCATCGCCGATACCGCTCAACGACACGCCGCTAGTGCTCCTACCCTGGACTCGACTGGCGCACGCAAACCTATCGACGCTACAGTACAAGCTCACCGTCGAGCTTGAGGGGGTGCCGCCGCACGTCTGGCATGAAGACACCGCAGCCAAGCTCCTCGCGCCGTACTACTGGATACAGAGCATCGAGCCAATCACGGCCGCCGCCGATGACCTATCCTCGTTCCGCCTCACAGCATGGACGAATAAGCCGAGCTCCCTGCCACAAATCTTATGGCTCAATGTCGTAGAGCACGAGGTCAGATTAGCGGAGACCGGAGGGGTCAGATTCCGCGGGACTCAACCATTCCTGTGGAAGAAGGACACGATGCGGTACAGGATCATCGTCCACCTGAGATGCGTTCATGACTACTCGCCGCAGCCGGATTACAGGGGTGATGGATCCTCGTCCGATGACCCAGCCGAGGATGGCAGGAACAGCAGGCATCACCACGGCCACCGTGACTCCAGCACAGAGATCTACCCCTTCCCCTGCCGCCGTGGCGAGCCGGACGGCAATGCTCCGGGGACATCAGGTGGCGACGGACAGGACAGAAACCGGGACCGCTAGGGCCCGCGCAGGCATGTACCGGCACACCAAAGGCTAGGTCCACACGGGAAGGCTCGTGTACCTGCTCCCCAGCGAATCAGAAGCTACGAACAGCCTCGCCCTGGTCAAAAAAGCAGAAAGCAGTTCCAGGCGCCGCGGCAAGTCTGGCGTCCTAAGCAAGCTAAGAGACAAGAAGCAGCACCAACCCAGCCAGAGAGTGCCAAGGCTGACAACCGCTCTGCTACCACCAGTATGGGGGGCACCGGGACAGCTACTCCCCAGCCAGCCCACCTGGTAGAAGATCAGGATGCCCAGGGAGGCTAGCTGGCCACCGATGAGCAGCTCCAGGACAAGCGGCCACCAATCACCCAGTTCGCGCTAGAAATACTGGAGGCAGCGGCCGACGATGTCACAACAGAAGCGGACTGTAGGGACCTGACAGCAGCGGCAGATGAAGCGATAGCTATCCCGCAACCGGTACAGATTCAAATCACAGCCGTTTCAGAGGACCCAATGGTGGACAACGTCGATGATGGTCCGTTGGTAGCCGAAGAAGCAGCCAAGGCAAAGGACGCCGCCACGTCGATACAGGGGGACCGGACACAGGCGGAGGGTGGGCCGGACAAAAGCCCACTGCCGTCGACCCATGAAGGGAGCACACCTCAGTCCAACGGCCCACCTGCCCATGAGGCCCAGGAGGCCAGTCAGGCCGTAGCAGTTGATGCCGATCGTTCAACAGCCCACCAATCGCCACCATGGGACGGGACGGTGCCGGACGAGGAACAGGGGGCTATAACGCCACCGGTCAACAGGCCGGAGCGCACTACACCATCGCCGTCGAAGGACACGGCATCGGCGCAGCGAAGGTTCAAGTCGTTTGCGGTGAAGGTCAACAGGCCCAAGCCTGTGGCGCTACTGAAGCGCCCATCACCAGTCAAGGCGGCAGAAACGCCTAGGAAAAGGCCGACGCGAAGCCGGAGGATCGCGGCGTAGAGTCTGCCATGGATTCCGGCATCCAAGCGTGGGGAGTATCTGGTGCTCAAACGCCTTGGACACGCTTCCCCACTCTCCGCATCCACTGCCAGGAACAAATTCGACGCCTTGTTCGGAAACAACCCGGAGGACGACGAGGCGCTCAGGGAACTGTTCTCGGACGATGGCCACATCAGCGGCCGCAGGAGGTGCCATCGTGCATGGGCTTAAACAGCTCGCTTCCCGGTCGACAACAACAATGGATAACACAACCATTGTGTGTTGGAATGTTCGCGGGCTCAACGATAGAGCCCGGTGAGACAACGTGCGCACAATGATGAGAGACGCGCACGCCCATGTTGTTTGTCTAGTTGAGACTAAACTACAATCTGTAAACCAATGGCTAATAGCCTCCATGCTGGGAATGAATTACATTGATTACGTGTATGTGCCAGCGGCTAACACCAGGGGTGGGATAATTGTGGCAGCACGCTCTCCAGATGTCGCACTGCAGGAGCCGCACATCGGTTGCTACTCCGCCATGATCAAGGTGTTAACGCATGGCGTAGATCCATGGTGGCTGTCCATAGTCTACGGCCCGCAGGATGAAGCCGCCAAGGAGCACTTCCTGGAGGAGCTGGAAGCGATCAGAGACCAATGCCAGGGGCCTTGGGCCATCATTGGGGACTTCAATCTAATACTACAGGATTTTGACAAGAACAACAGTCGCATCAACAGAAGGACGATGCAGCGTTTCAGGCAAACGGTGGCTGCTCTACAGCTGCTAGACATACATCTCCATGGACGGCGGTATACTTGGAGTAATGAAAGGGAGCAGCCGACCATGGTGAGGCTTGATCACGCCCTAGCATTGCTTGATTGGGAAGAGCGGTTCCCGGACTGCCACCTACAGGCTCTCGCATCAGACGCCTCTGATCATTGCCCGCTGCTGCTCCAAACAAGCCTGACAGCCTACACGAAGCCAAGATTCCACTTTGAGATTTTCTGGCCCACCTTCCTAGATTACCAAGATGCACTAAAACGGGGCTGGAGCTGTCCTAACTCGGTGCATGATCCGATCGTAAGGTTGGACATCATGTTCAAGGAGCTGGCCAAGGAACTGCGAAGCTGGGCCGCGTGCAGGATTGGGTTGGTGTGCGAGCAGCTGCTGATGGCCAGAGCGATCATACTGAAACTCGATCAGATCTCTGAAGAGAGAGCACCGTCAGATTCAGAGACGGAGCTGTGTGCCAAGCTCAAACACAAATGCCTCGGCCTATCCTCACTGGATCGAACGATAGCAAGGCAGAGGGCCAGAGTATGCTATTTATCAGACAGAGATGCAAATACCAAATATTTTCACTTGTTGGCAAGAGGTAGAAGAAGGTGGAACATCGTTACCAGGTTGAAGGTAGGTGACACCTTCACATCGGACCACGACACCATGGCCAGCGTAGTACACGACCACTTCATGGCGGTGTTCGGTGTCAGCGACAGTCTGGACGGGGTAGTCAACTTTGAGCAGCTCGGTATCTCGCAGGATGACCTATCGCACTTGGAGAAGCCACTGACTGAAGAGGAAACCTAGGCTGCGATTCAGGCGCTGCCTCCTGACAAAGCACCCGGCCCTGACGGTTTCATGGGAGCATTCTACAAGTCTGTGTGGCACGTAATCAAGGACCAGGTAGTCGCTGGGATCAATGCGGCACTGTTTGGAGATGCCAGGGCATTTGGCAGGCTGAACGGTGCTCCGATCGTCCTACTGCCGAAGACAGCGGACACCAACGAGCCATCCCAATTCAGACCGATAACAATGATACACAGCTTGGCAAAATTGGTGTCCAAGATTCTTGCTCTCAGGCTAGCGCCCAGGATGAACAACCTGATCTCACCCAATCAAAATGCCTTCATCCGAGGAAGGTCCATACACGATAATTTCAAGTACGTGCAGAGGGCGGCAGTGCTACTGCGCAAGAAAAAGATACCCAAGATCCTTCTCAAACTGGACGTGGCAAAGGCCTTCGACACTGTCGAGTGGCCATTTATGCTTGCAGTGCTCCAGGCGATGGGGTTTGGCCCGTGCTGGAGGCGTTGGATAACCACTCTACTTTCGTCGGCAACCTCCAACATCCTGCTAAACGGTTAGCCAGGGAAGCCGATCAGACATTGACGGGGGGTGCGGCAAGGTGACTCACTATCGCCATTGCTATTCATCATAGCCATGGAAGTGCTCTCAAGATTGTTCAGCACGGCGAGAGAGCAGGGGGTACTGTGCAGTATGAGCACGGATGGAATCAAGTTCCAATGCAGCATCTATGCCAATGATGTCATACTGTTCGCGCACCTGGACGCCAACGAGGCCCTGGCCATCAAGGGGATTCTGCAAATCTTCGCAGACACCTCAGGGCTAAAGACCAACATGGCCAAATGCTCGATTACCAACATACATGGGGCAGAGGACGCCATCGAACATGTCCGACAGGTGCTTGGCTGCCAAGTGACGCCTTTCCCCATCCGCTATCTCGGGCTGCCCCTAAGCACAACCAAGCTGCCCAAAGAACACGTCCGGAAGACAGTGGACGCCGTCGCGCGGAGACTGCCTGCATGCCACGGCCCCCTCATGGCCAGAAGTGGGAGGCTGATATGGGTAAAATCGTTGTTAAACCGCAATCCCCGTCTACTGCATGATAGCTGATGGTCTGCCTCCATGGGCATGGGCAGAGATCGACTCAATCTGTAGACGATTCCTATGGACGGGAAGTAACGACGATGTCAGGGGGAAATGCATGGTGGCCTGAAAGACGTGCACACGGCCAAAAAAGCTCGGGGGGCTGGGAATCACAGACCTGAAACTCCAGGCAACGGCATTCGAAGCAAAGTGGCTGTGGCTTCAGAAGACTGACACCGATAGAGCTTGGACATCGCTGCCACTGCAGCAATCTAATGAAGCGAGGTCCTTCTTCCAAGCATCAACTTACACAATCATCGGCAATGGCCAGAATACTCTAGTCTGGCAAGACAGCTGGGTTCATGGGGTGTCAATCAGAGCAATGGCGCCCACCTTGATGCACTTTGTCCCCAAACGAGTCATCTGCAGGCTAACGGTGGCGGAAGCACTCACGGGACGGCATTGGGTGCGCACCATATCCGGCGGAGTAATCGCCCCAAGAGCCGTGGAATACTTGCGTGTCTCGCACGCGATTGAGGACATCGTCCTCACGGACGCACCGGACCGCCTCGTCTGGCGATGGGGAGTCGGCGGAAGCTTCTCGGTCCGATCGGGTTATCGGGTATTACATCTCGGTTCTCACCCCATTCCGGATGCGTCGAGATTTGGGAGGTGTGGGCGCCGCTCAAGGTCAAGTTGTTTCTCTGGTTGGCGGTTCGCGCCGACAATGGACAACAGCCGGATGACGATGGAAGCATGGGCTCGATGCACACGACACACGCTTCTGTGCGATCGAGAACCGGAAACCATTGATCACATCATCGTCACATGTTCCTTCGCCAGCGGTTGTGGTTCGAGGCAGCCACACGGCGCTTGGGGCAACTCGACCGAAAGCAACCGGCCGGGCGCCATTGTTGATGGTGGCGAACCGGAGAGCTCTTTGGCCGGCGTCATTTGCAAGAGGCGCAGACTCCATGTTCGCGCTAATCGCTTGGGAAATCTGGAAAGAACGTAATGCGCGCGTTGTTTCATGGAGCAACCACACGATTCCGGTGATCAAGGCAACCATTAAACTTGAAAGAGCTATGGGTCCGGGCGGTCTGCGAAGCACCTAGGTTGTTTAATTCAGCGAGTAATAGGTTAGAGAAGAAGCTGAGCAGGGTGGGTGCGCTCAGTGTTAATCTTGTAAACCACCCGAGATGTAACAAACTATTCTTCTACTTAATAAAAAAACGCGCAAATCTTTTGCGTGATTGAGAAAAAAAAATGCTCCTAAACTGGCTCGTAAGTCTTAACTCTCAACTAGTCTAGGTTAAACCTGTCTCACGGACTTAGCTGGGCTATTAAGGGCTTGGTTCCCATATGTTAGCCAGGCTAGGCTTGACTAGAAACCGATAACAACCTGTGGGCGTGATTCGCTTCTTGAATGCTCCTAGCCTGGCTGTAACTCTCAACCAGTCTGGGTTGAGCCTGTCTATATGGGTGTAGGTGCCAGCGTTTGGTTATTTACTTCCGTGGTTTCTAAATCGGCTGAAAAATTATTTGGTAGCTAGTGCTAGACATAATATTCCTTGATGCGTAATGATTTAGGTGTGCACCTTAATTGCATTTGTCGGACCTAGCCGCGAGAATCAAAATGTTCTGTGTTTCCAGTGAGTCCGGTTCGAGCTGTACGGCTACACGACGATAGCCTAGCCCGAGCGCTTACTTTTTTTTTGACTAATTACTTATTTTTATTAGGAAACCTGTAACAACGTACTTTGAAGAATTAGTTCCTCATCGACACATGTTAAGTCTATAACATTATGCATGTCCACATATATCATAGACACACCCAATGGTATGTAAGATTTGGACAAAGTTTGAGTCTAATAGTAGAATTTTTTTTTTCAGAAATTTTATGAGTACATGACACATGAAAAAAAGCAACTTCAGAGCCAAAACTGTAACACCCCAGGTGTTTGCCACCAGTTAAGCAATGGGTTTGAGCTCAAACATGACATGTTAAGTGGTGATGGAGATGTTAGGTCAAACATATGAAAATGAGCCACCACTTAAACTTGGACTATTCACCATTGCTTACCTGGTGCCCTTTTCTAAAAAGTATGCTTGGGAAATGCTGGGTGTACTTGTTTCATGTGTCTCGCATCAATATCCCTCTATATTGATCCATGAAAAAGTTTCGTGAAGTTTGGAATCAAGAAGTCACATGAAATGACAAGTTATGTCCTTGCTTGAATTATTTTATAAAGTGAATGGAATTCTCGATCGTCAACCAAATCTTGCAACCATGCCCAGATGACTCTAGATGAACTCTACAACAAAAGTCATGAAGGGTTCGTGTTGAGCGGAG